TAAATAAAAGAAGTGTTTTTTTTAATATAATTCTATCCTAATTTAAATTTAATCTTTTCAAATTTTAAATTTTTTTCTCACATTATTCAAATTAGATATATTTTAAGAAAACAAATATTCTTTTCAAATTTAAAATGAAAGACTAAATGCAAAGATTTCTTTTCAAATAAAATAAATATTTTTAAAAAAAAATTCATTTCATAAACAAAAAAAAATGATCTTTCTCATATAAAAGATATTTTTTTTTCTAATATGAAAATTTTTAAGAACCAAACATTTTTAAAAATCAAAATTAATTTTTCAGAGAGTAAAAAAAAAATACAATTGTAAAACTTATCCCAACTTGATTTTTTTAAAGAATTATGTAACTTTTATTTCTCCATTACATATCAGGATAAGTAAAAAAAAGAACTTGACCCTTGAGCTCAAATATTTTTATTTTTATTTTTCTTCTTAATTCTAAAACACCAAAAATATCTCTTAAAAATATACTTTCTCTATCTAAATTTATATTTAAAAAGACAAAATATCAATTTCAAAATTTTCTCCTCTTTTCAAAATTAAAAATAATAATTAAAAGATAATTATTTTATTTAATGGACATTATAGAGTGTCAATACATTTTTACACTTAAACAACTCTTAAACCTAAATTTAATTTTAAAAATTATTTTCTTAATTAAATTCTTTTAAATATTTTCTTTGATAAGTTTTGGTGACAATTTACTGTCATTAATTTTTCTTAAATTATTTATAATTATTTTTTAATTTTTTTCTCATCCTATTGTAACTGACATAATTAAATATCAACTTAATCTTTAATAAAATTATTAAGGATTAAATATGTTTTTATCTCTATAAAATCATCAAAATTAATTTTAAAATTTTATAATTTTTTTATTTTAGTCCTTGCTTAGTATAAAATGTTTAGAATTAATTACCAAACATTAATCAATATTTTTCAGCAGCTTATTTGACTTACACAGCTATCTAATCATATAACATATGATGTAAATGTCTTATATGTAAAATAATTTTCGAGATTCATTATTTTTATAGATATTTTTATATAAAATATTTTATAAAAATATTTTAATATATTTTATATTATTTTACATTTATTAATTCTTTTAAAATATTTTAAATATTAATTTATCAACTAATTTTTTCAAACATAACTTAAAATCACATATATTTTTGTTCGTACAGAGACGTAGTTATATATTCTATTTAAATACACAAAATATATTTAAGTAAATAAAAATATTAAAATTAAATATCAAATATATATATATATATAATTTAAAATACTAAATAAAAAACTAAATAAAACTAAACAAGTTTTTTTTTGTTTTTCAAACTTATTTTTAAAAATAAATTTATCAAACAAGTTTTTTTTTTATATTTTCTCATCTTAAAAATAATCTTAAAAACTAAACTAATAAATTATTTTTTTATTTTTTTCTTAAAAACATTTCTTAAAATCATTTTAAAATAATTTTTTAAAAATTAAAAATCAAAACTAAAACAAACAAGCCTAAAGTTTTTTAAGTTCAAAATCCCTAAGCATATGAAGGAAGTGTCTTGAAATCCATTTTCATCATATTAGAATTTTGTTTTCACCTATGTGACTAAAAGAACATTATTGAGATTTAAGGATCAGTCTTGCCAATGAACAAGAACCTAGTGGTGCATGCAATTCAAAGTGGTAAAACTGATAGATTTTGTGAGTAAAATGTTTGCATGTGAATGAGAACATATGGTGATATAATACTATATGCAAAGAATTTTGGTATTCTAAATTGAAATTGGATTATCATGTAGGATTTTAAGGAAGACCATTTTGTTGGAATTTTCTCAAAGGACCAAATAAGTTGTGTACATTGAAATGTTTTCTTTGAACTTTTGTATTTTTTAATTAAAAATTACGAGAATTACTTTTCCTAATGAATTCTATCAAATGGGATTGTGTTGTATCATTGATAAGTGTACCGAAGTTTTATTTAAGTATAAAGAAGTAAGGTTGTCCATAAACACTTGCTTGATATATAATACATTAAACAATCATTGTTATAAGTCTATTGAAATATATACAAGAATGTATTCACCAACCAAAATATTTAAGGGTTGTTTGCATGCATAACAAGAAATCGAGGTTTGATGAATATAAAGAAAATATAAATACTAAGATTAAATATTAGTGAAAGAAGAATTGAAATTCAATTTTACCCAACCTTCCTCTTATGCATATCTTTAAACACATATATAGATTCACTCCCTTGCCAACGTTAATGCAACAAAATATATCCACTTAACATAATCTCTTAATTAAAACTAAGATTCTGAGTTATTAGCACAAATACCAATCTCTTGCATATTTATATATAGAAGTTTATCGCCTTAAGTGTTATGCTTTATGCAACTAATAAACCTATGCCCTATTTCTAGAAACATGATTCATTAGGTGACTCATTCCAAGTATTGACCTAGATAATATTTTCCAATTAAACTCTACTCATAAATCAAGCTTTGTGTGACAAGCGTTTAGAACAAGAAAGAATCACTAATGTTGATAAGAGAGATAAACATTAATATATTATCCAAAAATATATATATATGAGAGTTTAGGGATGTTATCCTAGGAACACATGAGATTCTTCACTTCAAGCTCCAAAAATGTTGGAAGTTGTTTTTTTCTTAGCCCTTACAAAAATGTCTAAAAAACTCATTTCTTTTATTTATATCCTCTTTAGCATACAAAAAGTGTTTAAAAGTTTTCAAATTCACTTAAGCAGATCACTTTTCTACCTTTTTGAAAGTGATATTTGTTTAAGCCATTTTCTAGATGTATCAAGCAAATTTTAGAGTGCTAGAACAAAACATCTGCCATACTCAAGCAAAAATATTTTTGCTAGTTAGTTTTGATTTTGCAAAGTCTACCATTGTGTCTTATCTTTGCTTAAGTAATTTATGCTTGCTTAAGCAAATTTTTGAACCTCTGAGCCTCCTTGACGTTATAACTAATATTTATCATTTCAACTTATATTTGATTATGTAGGAGGTGAAGGACATGTAGTTCATAAATAGATATAGATACTTGGTCATGTTTTGAAGCTATACTGAACAGTAAAAGAAAAGTTTAAGTATTCTTGAAGTGTTACACTCCCTGCCACCACACATTGTACCAATTGCAAAATTGTTCGAAGCTCACATGAACTACTCTAGTATTTCTCTCTTGGCTTTGTGTTTCTGTTTGTAAACATGGGTTGTGTGAAATTAAATACTCATATTTCTTTGATAGAATCATGCAAGAAGTGTCATTCAAGCTTCATGAACCAATATTGAAAAGTTGTGCTTAGTCACATAGGCTAAACTGTATTCTACTATCAACATGATGAAGTTAATCCCTCTGAAACTAGTAGGGCCAAAAAATAGAAGAGGGATTCATAGTTGAACACTTGGGTCCAGCAACATTGGAGAAACAATTAGATGGAATTCATAAGACTTTATTTTTTTTAATGATTTACTTTGTTTTTTGAGTACATGATCAGTTTGTTGTAACTACTTGTTAATTATTAACCTTTGTAATATTTTCATGCATGTTTTTATGAGATAATCTTTCTATCACAATTTGGACAATTATGTATTATTGTATGTTTGTCGGAACTAAAGAAGCTAAACCTTTTTGTCACACATTGTTGTGTATTTAAATGACTTCCATGATTTCATTTATTAAGTTTTCCAAAACCAAATTGAGTGACTTTCGAAACTTCATCTCTTAAGTTATTCTAAAACACTGGAAACCATTAAATACTTGATTACGATGCTTATAGAAGTGAATATAATATTGAATTTTAATAAGAATTTGGTTTAAAACCTCATTTAATAAATTTTTCACAACTAATCCTTTCTCAAAGACTTTATATACAAGAATTTTACAAATCCAAATCAACACATAGCTCCTCCGTTAATCGCAATAAACACATTTCATTAATTCATTTGAAAAAAAAAACACACAAATTTCAAAGTTGATCAACAAATACATTAATTTCATATATCTTCACACCTAAGTTTACCCAATTTGTTTTAAAATTGTCAATTTCATAGTAGAAATCAAACACACAGATAATATCACTGTCCAAGTAAATATTACAATACAAGTTAAACATTTCCCTTGTTTCTTTCTACTCGTAACGTCTTCTGCAACTTTCTCACATTTTTTTACTTTCAATTCTTCAGTCTCTTATTCCAAGTGTTATAATAGTTGTCTACTATTTCCAATTGCTCGAAGGGTGAATTCATCCTTAGTCCATTTGAATTATTTGCAACAAAGTACCTTTTCCAATTTTGGCACTTCCAGAATATTCTCCTAGGATTCTTCACACTACTAGATTTAATTAACACCAAGTTCTCTCCACTCTTACACACCAACTTACGCAAAATCGATGAGGATGACCATAATCTGTGAAACCCATAATCTTATGTGAACTTGTGCTCTTTGGCATCATCAAGATCTCCTCTCCCCTTTCTCAGTTCTTCTCTCCCAAACTATGGCTATAATACTCTCCAACACTTGTTTAAAATCATACATTCACGTGAATCATATATGGAGTTTTATAAACTGAAAATGTGGTATGTGATACGTGATGCTACGACATAGATTAAGTCTAAATATTTTTTATATTAAATAATAATTTAAAAATTATGAAAACTAAATAAAATTTAATAATTGTAGAGACTTGAAAATATATTTAATTTAACTACTAATTATCTAAATTAATCCTAAAAATTAGATATTTACGGTTTGTAGAAAAGCAGAAAAATAAATGTTTAGTCCTTTTCACTGGACGGTTAAAAGTAGAAAAGTTAGAAAGACAGAGGAGAAGAAGATGAGTGGCAAAAGGCGAAAAGAAGAAGGGCATCGAGAACACGTGCCACATTGCCTCACTCACTGTCTCTTCCCATCTCTATCTATTTGACAAGATCGTTCAATTCAAAACCACTTATTCACAACTTGCATCTCCCTCTTCTCTCTTTTCTCTTCTCTGCGCCTACCCAGTGACCCAGATTCTTTTTTTTTTTTTTTAATTCATTTTCCTTTTTTGTTCAAAATAATAAAAAATGTTGAAGCTTTCGTGCAATGGCTTGGACCGGGTTCACTCCCTCGCCCAATGCGGCTTCACGGGTCGACCCGCTTCCCTTCTCCCTTGCCGGAGGAGAAGCGCCTTCGCCGGATTCCGTGTTCCGGCAGCTAGGCAATTCCCGGTCCTGGCGTTGGTGTCGGATAAGGACGGTGCGGTGGTGAACCGGGTCGAACTGGAGACCGGGAACCTGGCGGACCGGTTGAGGCTTGGGAGCTTGACGGAGGATGGGTTGTCTTATAAGGAAAAGTTCATTGTGAGGAGTTATGAAGTTGGGATTAACAAGACTGCCACTGTTGAAACCATTGCTAATCTCTTGCAGGTTTTTTTTTTTTTTTAATTTTGATTGGTGATTTGATTGCTTGATCTGATTATTTATGAGAGAAGTGAATGTTTGGTTCTTTTGTTTTTTTAATTGATTGTGCATGGGGTGGGATATTTGGCATCTGGGTGTTTTTGGTTGTTGTGCATTTTTGCTTGTTTTGGATTGGGCAATGGGTACCTTTGTTTTTCTTTTTTAATGTGAATTGTGAAGGTTTTTGGCATTTCGGTGGTTTTGTTTCCTCTTTTTTATGTTTTTGTTTGGAAACCTTTTCTGAAATGCAAATTGAAAAATTGTGGCATTTGAGGGTTATGGGTTTTTTAGTATTTTGGTTTTGGTGTTTTGTGCCGATTTTATCAGTGCAGATTTGGATGGCACTGAGTTCCATGCATTGAGTATAAAATTTTGGAAAATTGTGCTTTATTTTTCATCTCTGTGGTTCGTTTTCATGATACCAATTTGTTTCCTTGATTTTAACTCCGTGTTTTAGAACAATTGTCATAGTAAGAATTAAAGCTCTCGTTTCTAGTCTCGGTCTTATGAAAATATACAAGTTCTTTTGATTATATGATCTTCCGATTATTTCATTAATGCATACCGAAAGACAAAATTAAAGTTGAATTCTAAATTATGAAAATAAATTTGGATGTCTTTTAGAGGTTGTTTGATTAAACAAACTGAATTCATCTAATCTAATACAAAGAACATGTGCTATTGTATTCCTTAACTGATTTTTTAATTGGCTGGTGACTTTGTTGTGCTGCAGGAGGTTGGATGTAATCATGCTCAGAGTGTTGGATATTCTACTGATGGTTTTGCAACCACACCTACGATGAGAAAATTGCGTCTCATATGGGTGACTGCTCGCATGCACATTGAAATCTACAAATACCCTGCTTGGTGGGTTTTTGTTCTTTATAGCACTCAGTTTATAAATTCTAATCTTAAAAGTCTAACTTAAGTGATTCCAACAGGAGTGACGTTGTTGAGATAGAAACATGGTGTCAAGGGGAAGGAAGGGTTGGAACAAGGCGTGATTTTATACTGAAAGACTATGCAACTGATCAAGTCATTGGGAGAGCAACAAGGTACAGATTTTCCCATGGAATTCTATGGTTGTGGCACTTTTACATACTTTTCCTATATTAGATTGATGGTAAATCCTATACTTATGGAGTACAGTCTTCTGAGTTTTCTTTGGCATGGAAGTGGAACCTTTCAGCATAGATGGTAGTCTCTAATCAATTGTTAACAACCAGTAGGATATGCTTTCATTTTTTAGGATGATATCTAGTTACTTTTTGCCTATTGACCTCTTGTTGAAAAATCCCTTTTATCATTTTAGCTAATGATACTTTCTTTTGATACCAACCATAAAAAATAAGCCTATATAACCTGTATTTATCAGCCTACCTCTGACTCTGAAAGACTATAGCAGGATAGTGCATAGTGGGATTATCACAATTTTTTTTAAAAATTTTTATGTAGACATATAATCCGTATTTATACATAATTACACACATAATGTGCAAAAAATGTTTAAAATTCAGGACATATCCATAATTATCAATAAAAAGTAATTGGTTTTAACTTTCAAGCAAAACATACAAGTAAAAAAAAGGGAAGCAAACAAAATATGTTACTGATGCAGAGAGGGAACGATAGAAAAAGGAAACAACAGAGAACAGAACAGAGGAAGGAACTGAAAAATAGAGAGAAGAGTCAAGTTGGATGTTGCTGGAAAATTGCCGAAGATGTGAGGCACTGCCACTTTGGTCACACAGGCAGAATGGAAGGAAGAGAGGTTCAAATAGAGAAGAGAAAACGTGGGAAGAAAACAAAATATAGGGTTACGGTTTTTTAAACTTTTTGGAAAAAACAGTAGACAGCTTTGCCTCTAAAAATGCCTCAAAACGACACAGTCTTGATGGCCAAGATGGGATTTTCAACTTGGCTTCTCTGTTGCGGAGATATAATGCTGCAAATTACAGTGTTTGGGGGCAATGAAAGCAGCTGTGACAAAAATAAAATAAAATTCTGCAATTGAAGTGCTTTCCACTCCGCCATGTGCTGCTGCACAAGTGCTTGTGATTATGTGTTATTGATTACTATAATATAACTTATGCTGTTTAGTGACTAAAGGATAGGATAGGACACTAAGCTACTGGTTGTTAAACTTCATCCCCAGCTCACAATGAAGTTAGGGATTTTATATGAAACTTAAAACTAAGAAATACTCGCTCTACTATTTATAAGGTACTTTTTAGAAGGTTTAGTGGTCTTTATTACAAGGCATTTTATAATTCCAGTGGAACATTTATTATCTTTTTTCTATTTTCCCTTAATAAATGGAGTTGGTGGAAACCAAAATTAAAACCATCAAAGGTAAATATTGATAGTGGACGTTAGATTCAATGATATTAAATGAGGGTGAAATTGACATATTTTTTAAAAAATTTAAGAAAATCAACTTTAATTACTTTTATTGGTTTATGTAGTTTAGTCAAAGGTGCCTTATAAAAAAGACTAGAAGGAGTAATATTGTTCTAAGATCCAAATATGAAAGAAAACTATCTAAATTAACAATTGATGCCTTTGCATCTCTAAATTTGACATGTTTATGTTTTGTTGTATGCTCTTCTATCTGATGCAATAATTTGATTTAGATACTTTGACATGGTTGATCATCTAACTACATTTACTTGTTTCAGCAAGTGGGTAATGATGAATCAGGACACCAGACGACTCCAAAAAGTCTCTGATGATGTTCGCGAGGAGTATCTGGTTTTCTGTCCTCGAGAGCCCAGGTAGTTGCTTTTCTTTATCATTTGCTAAGAATGCATTACAACTTATTCGGAATTTGCTTGATGATTTGCTTTATTTAGTTGCTCTTAATTGTTGTTGTATTAGCAAGAGTTTTGATAAACAGATAAGAGATTATTTCTTGTGTCTTCTTAGCTCCCTAATGCAAACGGTTACACTATTTAGTCAATATGGATTCTAACCAGAACAAAATATAGTGTACATATTATCTTGCATGCGTCAAAGGTTCATTTTTAAATGGCATCTTACAATTTTTATTTGGATGTTCCTGGAAGGAGCTTACCTGTTTGAAATCATTTGTGGTAAACTTCAGTGCAGGCTGTTAGTTAAGCCATTGACTAAGTAGAGTGAGGAATGCACTGATGAGATTGTTGATGGATGGTCAAATAAACTCTAGGACAGTTGTTCACATATTTATATGTCCTATTTATTTTGAAATCACTCGAGTTTATGAATTGAAATCTATCATCACAGTCTGACTCTTCCCTTGTTCTATAACAAATCTGGAGTCTCCACTCTATGTGTTAAGATTTATGGGGGATAAAAAGTTGAGCACTGTTACTGAAAAAAAGGTGAGCTGCCCTCAACCTGGCTGCTGTATTGGGAGGAAAAAAAGGGGGGGGGGGGGGGGAACTGCTTTCAGTTTTGTTATCCTACGGGTCTGATTTTATTGGAATGATGGAGTTGATGTATTAGTGAAAACAGAAAAGATTATGGAGTTGATGTATTAGTGAAAACAGAAAAGATTAGTCGCAGGAAATAGTTTAATTCCTTATTGTTCTTGTGAATGTAAAATGTATTTATTTATTCTTTTCTGTTTGTAAATATCCAGGATACTGACTGCTCCCCCTCAAGCAACTCAAAACTTCTATCGAGTGTCTCTTAAGTCTATTTTAAAAGCATCTTAATTAAGTCTAGTCTAGTGCGTGTGTGGGGATAATTACATTCACACCCCTTAAGGTTTTAATGATTACACTCGATATTCTTCCTTTTTTTAAATTACAGTAACCTCCCTCAATATACTGAACAACATAAAAATCATGAGGGGTCTGTGTATACTAAGGGTACAGTGGTGTTATATAACTTGAAGGAAGTCAATGTAGGATCGAAACAGGGAGGGATATTGGGTATAATATTGTAAAACTTCTCAAGTGTTGTCAATGTAATTTGTCATACTCACAAACACACAGACATACATGTATTTCATTATTTGTCGTGGTTGTTGAAAGTGTGACACCATTTGTGTCAGCAGAATGAACTTGGATCCGATTACTTTCTGTGGCTTCTGCCTGTTTCTCCTTTTAGGGAAGGGTGTGAGGAAGTTTCATAGTGATTTCTAATAGAGTCATGGGAACTTTTACTACACATGCTATCTTTCATTTTTTAATGATGAGACTTCATAGAAAAGATTTGTCTTATTTCTTTGGTAATTGGTACAAAATTGAATTTTGAACAATATTTTTTAGACTTAGCATACTACAAGTAGTGCGCTTGATTTATTATGGGCTCAACAATCCTACTACATTGCTTGTCCTGTTACTGTTAGTGACTAGCCATGTTTTAAATTTTAATACCCGGGCTGGATTGCCACTGTATTTGTTATTAATTTGTTTCCTTTTTCTTATTTCTCTCCTGTGATCTTAGGTTGGCAATTCCTGAGGAGGACAGTAATAGCTTGAAGAAAATTCCGAAATTGGAAGACTCTGCTCCGTATTCCAGACTTGGACTTGTGGTATGATCATTTGGTGGCTCAAAGAACATTTTTCTTTTACTCTTTCTCTTTTTCCCCTTTTTAACATTCACAAAAAAAGGAATTTCATTAATTGGCGAGTAAATAGTTGCAAGTGCTTGGCCTTCTCACTATGCTATTTAAATTTTGCAGCCAAGAAGAGCAGATCTGGACATGAATCAGCATGTTAACAATGTCACCTATATTGGATGGGTGCTTGAGGTTGTTATATTCTCTTTTTAATTTGTTGAAATACTTTCTATTTCACTATTCAGTGAGTCTATTTCTCACAAAATCTGGTTTTGGTAAACAGTTTATACCATGCTCTAATTTTATTTACATTATTGCATTTTGTTTTTTTTTTTTTTGGGGGGGGGGGGTGGGTTCTCTTGCTTCATGTTTCAAGGTGATTTTCAAATATAAGAAAATATCAATTACTTCATTTCATACTTATTTTCTTTAATTTTTCTAACTTTTGGCACCTTAGATCAGAACCACTATTATAATTCAGTGGCTGGACTGACAATTTACATTCTATAACATATTGCATGACTGAGTGTATGACTTTATCCTGGATGTTCTTGTTTGATATGTTTCCCATATTTTATGCATTTACTCGTTTTTTATATGTTTTAGTTTTGGTTACTTGTATATGTGTTATTTCTTCAGAATGACATGTGACTGGGGCTTGCAATTCATAATTCACTTCTTTTTTCCTATATACAGTTTTCTTGCTAGAATATTCACAATTGCATAGGCATGGTGTTGCTTTAAGGTTACAATTTTTCTCTTTCATATTCAACACCAACAAACTGAAAGAACATTGTTTTGACCCATTTCTAAATTTAAGATTGACTTTTTTGTACAAGTAACAAAAGTATATTTTAATTCTGCTCAAGATCTTAATGAAAAAAAAAAATAGAGGGACCATTTGTTTAAAAATTAAGCAGATATTTTACAGTTTAAAAATTGCTTTTAAAAGAAACCAATTTAAATCTTGTATCCAGAATGGTTTTTGTACCATTCTTTTAACCATTTGTATGGTAAGGAATATATTTGGAGCAGCCTATCTGTCTGTTGCTGGACTACTAGAAACTATTTTAATTGAGATCATGTTAGGATTTTTTTTTCTTTATTGTTTAGCCTAAAGTTGAAATAAGTGATATTAAGATTTTTAGATCTTAGAAGCCGTTAGTGTTGATAGTATTATCGTATCTTCAGTGATGTTGAAACATCCAGTGAATTAGAGTTGGAAATAACATCAGGAAGGTGAAAAATGAATTTTCGTACACTTCATTTGATTTGGAATTCTTTTTGTTCTCTCCTGGTTTGTTGTTTTTTATGCTACTATTTTCCTTGTCATAAATACATATACATGTGACAAATCATTAATTTTATTATTAAAAAAGTCTCTCATCATATTGCAGTAACTAACTAACTAACCATTCTTTTCAGAGCATGCCTCAAGAAATCATTGATACCCATGAGTTGCAGAGTATTACCTTGGATTACAGACGAGAGTGCCAACAAACAGACATAGTTGATTCCCTCACTAGTGTGGAACCGATTGAGGGCACCGAGGTGGTTCCAGAACTGAAGGCTACAAACGGATCTGCCATAGCAAGGGAAGACCAACACGAACACCAGCAGTTTCTGCATCTACTTAGGTTGTCTACTGATGGACTTGAGATAAACCGGGGACGAACCGAATGGAGAAAGAAAGCTCCAAGATGAGGAACGTTAAGTGTGTTTCCATCTTAGTCATGATTCTGTTTTGATCTTGTTCTGTTTCATGTTTCTTGGGTTTTCTTATCAATTTTCGCCCAATATTTTGCTTAGAGTTCATGCACTTGATAGGGATTGGAAAGCTAGAATTTGTTGTTGCGTTCTTGTCATGACCATAAATTTAAATGATTGTCCAAATCCTGTAGATAGGTCGCATAGGTTGACATTAATTTCTGATGCATTGGGATCAGATTCCATAAATGTCAGTTACTGTACCTTACAGGAGTTTATAGTCCTATCATTTATATCCAGAATATTGGTATGGATCTGCCATCTGCTGCATGACTTTTAAGAATGTGTGTTCTTATAATAATCGTTTGAAATTAATTCAATTAGCTAATTATTCCGTTTCATGTTTAATCAATTTTTGGGGGAAGGGGAATGGGGAGGGAAAGGTGCTTTTTTTAGTATGGGTCTTACTAACTAGTTTCCTTAGGAGACTTGTTAAGGAATTAACAAATAATGAGTATTTTTTTATTAAAAATTATATTGGATTGTAATAAAAACCGAGTGTATTTTTTATGTTTTTCAATAAAAAAAAATTCTTTTGATTCTTTGACTAATGTCTTAAGTGCACTTGTTAGCATTTTCTTCTTAATATCTATGGTCCTTCTACGCTTTCTCTCTCTCTCCTTTTGACTATATGTTGCAAAGTAAATGTTATTTATCAAAAGTGATTTATGCTCATAACCAACGAACTGCTGTGCGTTTTTATCTGAATAATGTAGCATAAGTGCTTACTGTTGGAATAGGTGGTTATAATCTACAAATTTTGTCTTTAATTTCAAGCTGTGTTGTTCTTTAGTAAGTGTTATTTTTGTGAAATTAAACTGTAAAATGTGTCAAATTTTCACTCATTCCCGCTTGTGGTAGCACTTTGTTTGTATGAATATTTGGCTATGCTTACAGCTTGTACTTACTCTGGTTTTTTTTTTGGGTAAACTACAGCTTGTACCTATTTTATTTTTGGTCCAAACTACTGCTTGTACTTACAAACTGTATAAAATGCACCTCAAGGCTAGGCCAGTGGCACAGGCCTTATAAGGATTACTATAATCTAGAATCAAACCTAAGCCTAATTTAACGAGCAAAGGTTTCTATGCTTACCAGTTGAAACAATAATCACTCGGCCAAGTTCATGTTATTCAATGTTGTCTAATTTTCTTACGATGGGTTATATTGGACGATATACATTATAAGTTTTTATTGAAAATGATAGTATTTAATACTATCAACCATGGTAGTTAGTATTGCATGATTTGCGATTTGATACGTTGCCAGTTTTGTTCTAGAATCGCAGCTTGAATTCTGGGTCGCGCTGGCACGGCACAGTGCAGCTGATGGCTGTCACGTTGAGTGGCGTTTGTTAGGTTGCAGTGGGTGCGGGAGTTAGCGGCGCGTCTGACACACCTATTCGATTTTGAGCTTTTCTGGTGTTCTCTGTCCCGCGTCTCTGTTAATAGAAGAAATCAGTTTTTCTAGCATTTCTACTATTTTTTATTTTTTACTGTTCACGCATTTCAAACTCCTTTTCTGTTTATTCTCTGCTATTCAAATTCTGACGTTCTGTTGATGTTATGCTTTTTTATTTAATAAATTTTTATTATATATATATATATATATATAAGGTGTTTATATCATTAATTTGACCATTGTGAAAAATGTTTGTGAGTCATAACCATCATATCATCCCCTTAAAGGAAAGGAAAGGAAATATTGGTCAATTTTTCCACAATACTCAATAGTTATGCTGACAAAGCAAATTTAGTTGACACTTGTTCAGGTATGACCTCTACTCATGATACTTGAAATGACATGGTAAAAATAACTCTAAATAGAAAAATAATTTTAAAAAATATTATTTTGATAAATATTTTTTTTATATAAATAAGCCTTAAAAAAAAAAATTTCTAGTTGAGAGAGGAAAACTAAACCCTTTGAATCCTAATAATAATGGAAATAGATTTTTTTGTAAAATTTTATGAATGACAAAAGCCATCTAAATATATAATGTTGGCAATCGCATTCAGAATAAATAAATACCAAAGTATAGCAAATAAACTATATAAAAATTGTACAAGTTCTATCGTAATTTGAAAATTTACAGATACATATATCTCAATTTAGCCTCGCAATCTAAACCTGAATTATATTCAAAGTCTCACTCAAAATTGACGCAAGAAAACTGTTAAGTGTTGAATTTGGGTGTATATATATTTTAATATTATCACCTAATATTTTATTGATACTTTATTTAATAAGTTTACGCAAACTTATTAAATAATGTGGGAATATATTATATTAGATGCAGGTATAAAACTTTTTACACGAATTTAAGTTAAAATTAAAATTTTGTTAATATCCGTCTTTAAGTTTGAGTTTAAGCATCACAAATAAATAAATTTTATGAAAAAATATATAATTATTACATTAAAGTTATAAAAATATAATAAATAATTTTTTTTTTAATAAAATTTTACTATTATTATCTATGAAAGTTAATACAAGAGGCAAGCGGTTTATTAACTTTTAAAGGTCCTAAGTTCGAGTCTTTATATGTGCAAAAAAATTTTAGTGTAGACTCACTCACCATATTCTCGAGTTCGAGTCTTTGTGTATATAAAAAACACATCTAGATAATCCGGATTGGATCTGTCTTAAACGGGATAAGAAACAAAAAAAAATTAAAAAATAAATTTTATTATTATTAGCTACTTATTTTTGACTTTTAAGATTAATATTAACAAGAATAAAATTAATTTGTCATTTATGATTAAACTTCCATTATCTTAATTTTTCTGGTTTCTCCTCTCCGTGCACAACAACAAAAATATGCATGTTATAAAATCATTTTCAACTCACGTAGAAAGAGTTCATTGCTTCACGAAATAACCCATAGATCCCACTTCATTCTTTATACTTGGAAGACACGTTACCAGAATGCAAATTCAATACTGATTATTTTAGCCAATGGCACAAAAATCAATGAACTTAATTTCTGAAATTATTACAATATTTCTCCTTTGACTAGCAGCACTACCTTGTATAGATACAACAACAACATAAGGATTAAGGAAATCACGCCCCCATGGCATTTGACAGCACAACATTTATGTTACCCCACTTGCCAACCCTTAACCTTAAACTCCCTGAAAAACAGTTTCTTCACGCAACGGTCAATTTAATTCAATTCCCATCTCAGGTAATCGAAGGGTCTAATCACTCTGACTTATGGTTTTATAAATTGGACTCATTTGGAGTCAATTCTCTCCATGCACAACAAAGTTCAAGAACTAAGAGCAACTCATACACTATGGCCAAAAGCACTGCTTTGCTGCTTTTATCTCTCTTTGTTATGGCAATTCTAAATGGTACTGCATCTGCTGAGAGAGGTTTCCCAGGGAAAGATAATCATGATCATGATCTTCTGTATGAGCCTCAACATTTTGGGTTGTGGGGACTTTGGCCTTTTTTTGGTTTTCTTCATCCTTGGTTGTTTCATTTTTTGGGTCCTTGGTGGTGGTTCAAACATGACAAAACTGCTGTGGCTTACCAAGGCAGTCCTAAAGTTAATGGAGGCCACAGCAATGCCAAAGCCCCCACTGTTCCATGATAAAAGTTGGAGTTGTAGATATCACAAAGTGCGAGTCAAAGTGATATCTAAATAACTAAATAACATGTATGAGTTTTACTGGTTGTGTCCCTTGCAGCAGCTAGCTGGATTATGTCCTTTGTGTTATGTATATGTTGTGCCATGTAATGGTTATATCTGCTACTTGAAATAAAATAATTCTACTTTCTCTTGCAAGAACGTGGGATTGAATCCTGGAGGATCATATTTACATGCATTAATACTTGTGTGTGTGCTTTGCCTTTTCATCATTCACAATTATGAGATCATAGAAAGGAAGAAAAGTTAAAGGTCCAATTTTTTTAATTAGAAAAAATCACACCAGCTTTTACGAAAAATTGCTGACTAGCCTAATACGTGAACAGAATCCCAACCCAATCTTTGATTCATAAAGGAAATGTTACATTATTATTATAAACAAATTATTTGAAATCTTTGTAACCATAGTAGCAAGGTACATACACTTTCTTTAATCCCAAAGCTCCAGCTGCACACAATCAGATTATTTAGATGGAAAAGAATCGAATCTATGAGTAGAAATCGTAAATTTTTTCGAAGAAGTAACTATTACTATGTTTCTGTCTCAAAAAGACAGGTAGATGGGTTTAGTTGGTAAGTGAAAAATGAAGAAGTAGAAAATAAAAGCTATCAACTAAAGTTATGATTAGGAGTGAAGATAGAAATATATTTTCAACATTATCATGTTTTTTTAATATCAGTTATTTTAACCTAAGAAAAGAATGAAATTTTCAATATAGATTGAAAGGATAATCACATGCTTCAACATCAAAATGTTACTCCCAGTGCTATTTGTTTTGTTGTGGAAATGTAGGCCATGCATGACCGTTATAAAACCATCTTACAAGAACTTAAAGGCTATATTTGGATGTTAAAGTTTAGGAGAAGAGGGGAGGGTAAAAAGAGGGTTTAGAAATTAACTAATTAGGAGAGAAAGAGTTAGAAGGTTTCTATAAATTTCTTAAAACCCTCTTAACTTAGTTTTTTTCTTATAGTTTTTCCAGGAAAAATTTTCTCTTTCTCATTCTTTTATATGCATTTATGATTAGGATTCTATTTTTTAAGAAAAAAAATATATTAGTTTTTAAATTGATTTTTTTTTAAAAATTACAAAGAATAAAAACATGAATTTTAAAATATGAATTTTAATAATATTAATTTTTAAAGAGAAAAATATTTAACTTTTTGTATTCTTTGAAAAAAAATAAAAACATGAATAAAAAATATTAAAGATAATAATATCATTTATGATTAAATCTCTATTATCCTCTCCTCTCAATATTAAACATCCAAATAAGAGAGAAATTTCTCTTCCCCTCCTTCTCCTTTCAAACTCTTTCCTTCCCTTCTCCTCCGAACATCAAAACAAAACCTCAAAAAAATCACACCACAAAAGTTGTCCATTTTAGTTAGAGAAATCCACATTAGAAATTTATATTTCCTAATGTGAGATAATGTGAAATTCTTTCTTTTGGTAAAGAAGAAAAAAATACAAAAAGAAAACTACAAAACATTTAAACTGTCTAAAACTAGAAGTCTAAAAACTATGTTTAGAGGATCATCTAAAAGGTAACAGGATCTTTAGACAAAAGTATCAAATGAATTAATTTGTCAACTACTGAGTAAACCTCATGACATATGAATATATGAGAGAAGCTGTAACACCCTACTTTATAGAGACCCTTAATTAGTGATTTTTTTTTTAAACCAATAATAATTCATTCATACATAATGTCGATATTTCCAATCATTAATCACAAAATAAATTTTCACATGCAAATTTCAATATGAAGTTTCTGAATTTCATCGTAGCATATAATAAAAGTAAACTTTCATAAGTATTTAAATAGTTGTTTACAGTAATCCAAAGGGCAAATGGTTAATGAGTTCCCTGCTTACACGTCACTATACACCAGAGAACTCAATCACCATTTCGTCTAGTAACATAATTAACATACAGATAAAAATATTAGATACAATTCTTCAAAATAATAAGAGCAACACCGGAAATGATTTCCTACAGAGCAGCATAACTAAACAAAATAAGTGGCTACTGCCCAACACCATATAAGCCTATGTACAACAAAAGAATGCCTACAACTAACTCTTGCCACTGTACACAAAAAGTAAGGTGCTTCCAGTCCTACTCTGAATCCATATCCTCAGACTTGGGTGATGAATCCCCCTCATCTGAGCCCATCTCTGAGTCACTAGACTCATCGATGTTTAGAGGATCATAATCCTCAGGAACATCAATATTCATTTCCTCCTCCTCAGCTGGAGGGGGAACTGGTGGTGGTATGGGTTGAAAGGGATTGTTATTACCCAAATCAAGAGTTAGTCTAGTCCTAATGGTGAAAGGTACATTGCCACCTCCGGGTCCTGGTGTCGCTCTCCTTAGTATTATAGTAAGTATGCCAGCAAATGTGTGAATGTGATTATCCCAATCGTGATGCCATCGGTGTGGTTCTGGACTGAGGAACCTGATCACCATATTCGTTTGAAGTGGTAACTGTGCCATCTCCCTCTACTACAAAGAGTGATCGAGCAAATCCAACGAGTATCGCAAACACATAGAAAATAAAAAAAATAGAAAGACAATAGGGTGAGCCATAGTTCATACATCTTGTTAAAATCAAACATCATAAACATTCACAGATCAATCACATTCCAAATACATGATGATGATGATGCATGATCCTAGTTCCTTTTACTAATATGTTCATGCATGCGGGCCCAGATCATTTCTCAAATCAGTGCTGGGGTAGCCAGGAGTTGACACTACTAGGTATGGAAAATTCACCCACGGGATTATTGAGACCCACGCTCAAATATAAACCTAGTAGCTCACTGACCATGATATACGGTAAGAGTACAGTCAGGTACAGGAGAGTTTGTACAGTGGGATCCCCGACAACAGGTAGTGAGCCTAAGCCTTTTGGGGCTTCCAACCACTAC